TTGGTGACGGGATTACAGGGGAATTCAATCTCAAAATAGATACACATGTGGGGTACGGATAATGGATACTACAAATGAAAATATTTTTACGATTCATACAATATTTGTACACGAAATAGACCAATAGACTATTGGCATTAGTATTAACTTAGATATAAATAACTACAGTAACAAAGTAAAAGTTTATCAGTAGTGCTAAGACTAGGTCATTGTTTGGCACCTACCTTATGGTGTCCAGAGGTCAGACATGGTTTTATTGTTTTATTACCATAAGTAATATTTTGTTCACTTTGTCAAACACCCGATTTAATGCTAAATAATTTTGTGTAGTGTTAATATTAAATATAAAAATTATATTTTAATACCGGTAATAAAATCTAGACCACTTGCTGTTTTCCACACTACATTTGTCTTATTTGTTTTAAGTAAATATTTATTTTTACTCAAAATAATGACAAATCAAATAAATATTATTCATATTCTTGTTTATAATGAGACATTCTTTAGTATCATATTCTTAGAAAAACTCATTTATAATATATTTTATTTTAATTTTTTTTTATTAAAAATCAATATTTAAAAATTTGATAAATTGTGCGAAAACATTACTAAAACTATTTTCTAATATTATATGTTATGTAAATCTATAGACTATATCAAAACACATGTACAATATGTTTTATCAATGTTATCTATTAGAAACCATTACTAATTTTAAATTTTGTAAGACTTGCTTTATCAATAAACCCTTATTTAGTAATATAACTTATTTTTTACTTAATTGAATAAATATTGTAAAATTAAACAAAAATCTTTTTTATAAGAATAATGATTAATTGTAATCTTACAAAATGTTTTGTGACATTTATTTATGCAATTTATTAGTTATTGTTTTTAGATATTATTCATTTGTCCATAACTTTGTTAGAATTCTTTAAACATGGTTTAAATATATTCAAATGTCTTGAATTATTTTAATGTGTTTATAATTTTGAGTTAAATCATTATACAACATGACAAGACTTGTGATAAAAATTTCTCTATTTCTTTTGTTAATAAATTATTGCTATGAGAGTAATATTGAATCCATTTCTTGGGCTAAACTTATTGACCGCACGAGTGAATGGATTCACAAATATTCAGATGATTTGAAAGCAAACATTTTTTCTATGAATGAAACTCAAAAGATTTCAAAGCCTTGTAATGAAAGCATTTGGAAAACATTTGAAAGTATAACAAATCTGGATGTCTGGGCCATTCAAATGATCAACTCTTGGGGTACTTTCCCACCGAAAGGTGTACTGTTGGGAACAAATACCGATTTTGGTTCATACGACCAGTGCTTATCAATAGTTCCCAACAGTATCATCAATAAACCCCAGTATTGTTTAATTGATTTAACGCCACCCATACCTAAACCTATGCCCAAACATCACAATCTCTATCATGCCATTCACATCTCGCTAAATACCTACAATTATATCAATAATTCTGATAATGTTTTTAAATCATATTCACAATTTGCATCATTTCATTACTGGGTCTCATTGAGAACTGGGATCTGTACGCCATCTAAATGCACTTCAAATGATATCTCATTACTGGCCAATGGATTTGCTAATGATATTGGACTTGAGTTAAGACAAACTCGATGTGAAACAAGAGATAAGGAAATGAGTATTACTACTATACAAATCATAGCTATGTATGCATTTAATTTTTTATATAAAGTTTATTGAGTAACTTAATCAAATTTTCTTAATTTTATTTAAAGTACATTTTTGGCCGTAATTATAATGATCTCAATAATGGCCACAATATTGGAGAAGACTTTTAAAAATAGACCAAACATTTCAAACTCAATAATAGTGAATATGTTTTCATTGAATGGCAATATTAAGAGTTTGTTTGCGAAGCGTTCGTCTGAAGTGTTTCCCTGTATTCACGGCATAAGAGTTATAACATTGGTTTGGGTGGTGTTCTCGCACTCCACCGAATGGACTAACTTTCAGCTCTTCAGCCGAACCTTTAGGGTCAGAGATATCTTCACCAGAATTGAC